ACAGTGACCCCAGTGCTTTGTCCAGGGAGGCAATGCCCGTCTCCCACCAGCATGCACCCCAGGAGACTCTTTTTATACTCGCGTACAGCATGAGTCGTATATCCCCGCCGGAGTCTCTTTATAGGCAGTCCAGCACTTGTCTCTCCCTCATAGGGCTGGCCTGCCCGACACGACCTCTACAGCGCAGCAAAGCAGACCAAAGGGCTTAGCAGCAAAGCACCCAGGCTCTACTCCCAGTGAGTTGGCATGGTGACAGTGACCCAAGTGCTTCGTCCAGGGAGGCAATGCCCGCCTCCCACCAGCATGCTCCCCAAGAAGAATGTTGACTCTCAAAGTTGAGCGCTCGCGACACCTCACAATGAGAGCACTCTCAAAACAGAACTCACTTCCTCGCGGTAAGAAGCGACGAAGAGGGTAGATAAGGTAAGGAGCAACATACCTCATAATGCTGCCCCCAAACACAGATTTATCACCAGTAACCTGACGTGCATTTATGATGACGGTCGGTGCCTCGGCACCACCCACAATATAATGCAGATCCACCTCGGCTTAAATGCCGCGTCAGCAAGCTCTCATCATCCAGTGTGCACCCCTATGTCACCACATCGCCTTCCTGGCACGCCCTCACGGCCCAGGGCCGCTAATCATTCCACCACACAAGCCTTATCACTGCCTCGCAAACACACGTCGAAGCACCAAACAGCTATTGCAGTGAAGCCAGCGGCGTGGCTCGAACCAGCTCCGATACCAAATTGCAAGGAAAACGAGCAATAGCGGAATACAGAATTCCAGATTGCAAAATCACGTTGAAAGCCAGAGTGTCCAAAACTGTCCAGAAAGCAGAAATGCACTGACATAACACCGAAGGAGAACCAAAGCAGCGGACTCAATTGTCAATGAACATACTCTCGCCACCACCAACAACATAGTCAAAGCTCTTCCTCCAACATGGCGCTCAGCGCCCAGACTACGATCACACAGCGACTCTCTAGCCTACAAACGACGAAGCAACCAGTTGACATCAGCAGCAGCAACCAAGTACATGCAGATGTCGACCATGTAGACCACTGCCAAGACCAGGTACGAGCCCTCACATCACTTCCCTTCTCGCCCCCTCATGCTCACCCTCGTCTTCTTCTTCAACGTCTCCACTCTATCAAAGACCACCACCATAACCCCGCTGACCTTCGTCCAAGCCAAGCCCGGCTATGGAAGGCTTGGCTATGGCGCTGCCATCTTGCAGCGTCCTGCTTCACCAGACGCCCGCGTGCGCCCAAGCACTTGCGCTAGCACAGCAGCCCGTGAGCTATCGCTCCAACAGCGCTGCCGCATGCACTCGCCAATGCCCAAAGGAGTCCACCACTGGCGAGCTCTTTCCTATACGGAAAGTGCTCACCCAGTTTGCTGACGAGCTGGGCCGCGCTTGTGCCCTCTAGCTTCAAGTTGGGCCAAAGTGTCTGCACCCAGGCCGGTTCAGACAGTGGCCTGGGACCGAATTGGTTAGGCATGCCCAACCACCCAGGTGCAAACGTGCAATGCTCCCTGCTTTCCCACGTTGCTGGAAGAGCCTAGAAGGCTCACAAATATTTCTGATTCTCATGAGCAAGGCAGATATAACCAACTGGTGTGTGGCAACTGTCTGGCGCCCAGCAAAGCTTTGCAAAATTGACGAACTCAGGCTTCTTTGAAATTCAGGGGCCCGCCTTCACTTAGGGCGGGCTCATGCTTGCTGCAAGGGCCCCCCACGGGCTTGCCGAGGATGGAAAACCCTCATATAAATAACGATTATGCAAAAAACATGCAACCTACCTATTTTACTTACTTTTCTGAGCCCAATTGCTGAAGATTCTCTGTGAGAGATTGTCAGCGCAACGATTACACATCGGGTATTTTGTCCTGACTCGAATCTGGTCCTGATTCTTGTCCTATTCATCCGGGAAAATGCTGGTCTGTGAGTACGTGCTTCGTCTCCTACAACCGTAGCTCTTGATCGCCAGAACAGAGTTATGTATGAGGACTGCAAACACTCATGCAGTCAGGTAAAAACAAATTCGTTCAAAAACAAATTTGTTCAAAAAATAATGTTAGGGGCTACCTACCAATGGGCCTAGCTCAGTTGGTACACCAAATGAACTGTTGAAATACAGACCCAAGTTCGAATCCAGCTGCAATCAGATGAACAAAATAAAATGTTAGGGGTTACCTGCAATGCGCCCGTCAAGTATGAGAAGCTTTCACAAGTAGAAGACGCAAGTATCAACAATGCACTTAAGCGGAACCACAGAAAAAAGGGGAAAAAAAAAAGAAAAGAAGCAACCACTTACTGTGGGAAAGAAGACCAGATTCACTCACTGTATTAGTCCCAGGATAAGGAGCAAGTCACCAGAACATAGACAAAGGTAGAGACGCTAGAGAAGCAATGGAGACAGAGGGAGAGTAATTTTCATTATTCGAATCCTCACGGCCTCCTGCAGTATGCTTCGGGTTCACTAGCTGAGATAGTCAGCTTGCGCTCCCTGGTTGATTGGTAGGGAGTCCAGACCCCCTTCCATTAATTGCCAGGGGTTACGCTCAGCACTGAGGGGATAGACTCGACCCTGAGGGGATAGGACTTGGAAACCATAAAAAAAAGAGACAGAACCCATAACCTGAGTGTAGCTTAGCCCTGAGCATAATAGATGTCTTGCTTATCATCCTGGCCGGTATAGGTGAGTAGGTAGTGGGAGATATAATGAGAGAAGAATATAGGGTAGTTTTTCATTAAAAAAGAAAAAATACAATTTTGAATCGGCTCTTCCTTCCCTCTTCACCTCCGGACTCCTCCCCACCAACTCACCACCTCAGCAATGCAAGTCTCTCCCTGAAAATCACTGATGAAGTCCCTCGGCGCAGGTGCCAGCTATGGCGCCCAACCTCCAGCAAGAATGCTGGCTATGGAGGTTGGCACCAGCCTTCTTCAACCTCCTGATGCGACCAGCACCAGCTTCAATATCACCAGAGCGCACGGAAGTCAAGGTAAGCTTCCCACCCCCTCACTCTCTCTCCACTCACAAGTCCTCAGCACCCACTTCCTCCCTCTCTCCCTCTCTCTACTCTAGCTATGATGGTTCTCTCCTTCCTCCCTGCCTCCTCTCCCACTCACTGTAGTGCGTCACCGTGGCACGTCACTGTAACGCATTACTGTAGCGCATCACTGTAGCCCGTCACTCTAGCGCATTACTCTACCCACGCACTGTAGCAGCACGAGGCAGAATGAATGAGCTGCTGGGCCTGGCTGCTCTTTTGTAGTGTTGTACGGCTCTGGCCTGCCTCCACTTGCCTCCCCCAGCAGTGGAGATTTCTCGATCTGGGCGGCCCAGGTTCGCTGTCGGCACCAGCTGCCTTGACCCAGTCGGCCGTGAAATCTTCCGGAACAAATGCAGACAGCCTTTGATTGTGCATCTGATCTAGGGCCGAGGTTGACTGCTGCGAAATCTCTGCCTCTTGGTCTGCTTTTCCCAGGTTGGGCCTGACTCTTGAATTTCCAAGAGTCCACTCTCTCACGGGGGGGTACAGGCTGTCTCACTACACCCTGGACCGTAGGACTTTTCTCAGACGTCTCTAGGGCTAGAGACACAACTTTTGACCCCTGAGTCTCGACTTCGGCCCAAACTTATGACCCTGGCCTGAACCCGCGGGCAGCACAGCTCCCCCGTGTGGTGAGCGGGCGATTACCAGTGGGGGTCACATATTGATAGGAGCAAAGTGTGCAAGAATCGCCGTGTCCGTGTGGTGTAGTGGATGGTGTGTGTTGAGTTGGGCAGGGGTGGATATCATGATTGGTATGGCCCCACTTTTGAACACTGTGTCCTGGCTGTAGCGGTTAAGAGACTTGGCTCTTGAGGCCGAGGGCGCCTGTTCGAATTCGCGCTTGCACAGAGGAGGGCTTGGGTCCAGATGTACGGATCCATAACTACTACTATGTCTGTGCAGATTTGAACTGAGTTCTTTACACTACCTCAGGTACCCCTTCAATAACAAAAAAAAAAAAAAAAAAAAAGAAGCGGAAATCCTGTTTAGTTTTACAGAGGCTGGGTATGTCGAGTACCCAGCCAATGTGCCTGAATGCTACACACATGTAACTGTTGATGAACAGATCGTGAATTCAAATCCTTATGTAATCAGAATCATTATCAGATCGATAGGTCCTACGGACTCCTACCCCCTTGAAAAAAAAAAAAAAAAAAAAAAAAAGAGAGTTGGTGTCTTCTGTGGGATTTATGCATGCACAGTGCACACTGCAAACAGAAATCGCATCCCAAAGGTTTTTTTTTTCGGGGGGGGGCATCCCAAAGATTCTTCAGAAAAGGAGTCCAGGAAGAGAACAACCATAAGTCACACTCCAACGATTCTTTCAAAAAGGAGCTCAGAAAAGGGAGGCAAAAAATAAAAGCACCGAAGTGTGACATTTCTGGCGATGTTTTCCACCAAAGATCACATCCAAAGCGAAGCGCCAAACCTATAAACTTAGGTTAAACTTGGGTTAAACTCAGGTAAAACTCAGGTAAAATTTGGGTTAAATTCGGGTTAAACTCGGGCTAAACTAGGGTTAAATTCGGGTTGAACTCGGGTTAAACTCCGGTTAAACTCCGGTTAAAGTCCAGTTAAAGTCCGGTTAAAGTCCGGTTGAAGTCCGGTTAAACTCGGGTTAAACTCAGGTTAAACTTGGGTTAAACTTGGGATTAAGTTAAAATTAACACACGGATTGCTGAGATAAACTGGTAACAAATGTAGGACCCGCAGGACAGGATATCAGTCAAATTGTGATGATAGAGAAGACTATTAGCAGGGCCCCTGCACAATCAAGGCTGATGAGATGTACAAATCCAGAAATGCTCCCAACTTGACAAACTCCTTTTTCGGTTAAAAAAGGTACCCCCCCCCCCCCCCCCCTTCCTCCCTCCCCTGAGTAATGCTCCTTGTGGACAAATTTTCAACACATGGCTTCAGTTCTCACTTACCGTGGTAACATTTGGTATAAGGAGGACATCCTCAACTTGCAAATGGTAGATTTCATGATCGTCCTCACAAGCTGCACTTCCTGATGGAAACCGCTGCTGCCATGCCGACTCCATTTTCTGAAACCAGCTCAGAACAGACAGACAGACAAACAGACAGTGTTTGACTTTAACTTTGACTTTGGGCTTTTGGATTTTGACATTGATGTTGCTGTTGTTGCGAACGTTCACTTTGACTTTCTTCTTTATCTTCTATCTCGTCCAAGAACTCCACAATAATGGATCTATATTCCTGATGTTTCACTTTTGAAATTTCTGAATTACAAGCAGGTGCAGCCAGCGCAGCTTGCGCCCGCGAATACCGTCAGGAAGCAACCCCAATAAAGAATCTCACTTCGCTCTTTCTGTCTCTGACTCTATGTTTTCTTTGTTAGTGCATGGCTGGTGCTTTCTGTATCACTGTTTTAGCTCTTGGCATCTTCTGTCTTTCTAAGTGTTTGTGGAAAGCAGAATAGTAAACAGCAACGGTCACAAACAGCAAGGTCATACACAGTCACAAACAGAATAGTAAACCGCAACGACTCTTCAACGATTCGAAGAACATTAGCATCGTCACCGTTTTTTTTTTCCTTTCTCATTTGTTTTTCCTGCTACACACACAGCGTCAGAGCTCCCTGGAACTTTAAGAGCTCGCACCAGTCTGACAGTACCACCCCCCCCCCGCCTCATTC